ATACCAAGAGCATTTAGTGAGGAACTTTCTTTTGTGGCTGACGGTTTTTACAAGAAAATGATCGATTTCTCTCTCGAAGTATTTACAGTCTTCTTAAGATCGGATTCTTATTTTTAAATGCAGTCTGCACACAGAGTTATTCTGTGCAGTGAACTTTTTTATACTGGTCCTAAATATTGAATTAACTTTCATGAATTCTATCATCATATTTGACAAAAATAGCAAATATATTGTTGATGTCCAGGAAAAAATATCCCAAATTTAAGCTTTAAATTAACACGCTATTAGTAATATCGAAAAATTTGCATCAGAAACCCTCACTTTTAATATTCTTTTCTGAATATACATTCTGCTAAAATTCAGTAAAATGACATTACTTTCAAATGATTTTATTGCTTGTTAAATTTTTAATGCTGGAAAAATGACATTTTTTTGAGTGCAGAAAGGTCAAATAATTGACAATGTGAAGTAATTTGAAGCTTTTTTGTCACAAATATTATGTGTTTATTCAAGATGAAATGAGACTGTGTTTGTTCCGACAATCTTCTTGAAAAAAAAAAGCATTGGAGGAAAAACGTTAAAAAATTGATTTATGTGTTAGACATAATCACAGTGCAAAAAGGTCATATTAAATGCTACATGGCGCCAAAAGAAGCGCATTGGCACATTTTTTTTTGTTTTTGGGGTTATTTTTTAATTTTTTTTTTTTTTTTTTTTTTTTTTTTTTTTTTTTAATAATTTTCATTTGCTTTTTTTTTTTTTTTTTTTTTTTTTGATATATTTATTGAACTATGTGTGTAGATTCTAAAAATATACCTTGATAAAATATTCTCAATACGTTTGATCGAAGGATCGAACCTCCTTAACATTTGCTGGATATAAAAAATAGTATTAAATGTTTGATACATGTACGAAGAAAAGCAGATTTTTAAACTATTCAAGAAATAAATTGCAACTTTCCAAACGCCTCTGACTATGTCCGTAATATACAGGCATAGTCTGGTAAACATCCGTCCATTATTTCTGGACTGGAAGTAGTTAGAGCTTATGAGTTATTCATGTACATGTAATTAATATATTTATTTATTCATTCAACACAGACTTTTTTTTATTTATTTCACATATTAATATATGAAATGCTTAATGATCCTATTTGTTCAATAAACATTATACTCTCCCTCACTTCGTCTGAATATAATTTAATCAAGTGCTAAATAATCAATAAATACAAATGTCGTGGACAAGATGCTGCTCGTTAGCTCTTCATTTTCTATATACAAAACATTCACAAGATTCAGTATATTACACTTTTTATCTCTATCAAACAAATACTATTGACTGCAAACTTTGATTCAAATATGTACATACAAATTCGAAGTCATCCATGGAAGATTCCATATGACTGTGTATCATCCATTTTTTCCCAATTAAAGTATTCTTAATACACTTTACTTGACATTCTAAGAACCAAGCGAGCGTAGATTAAACAACAACCGTGCGATCTGCTATTTATACCCAAAAATCACATGACCCTAATATCGAACACGCAACAACTACGGCTACACTTAAGGAGGAATGCCACACCAAAATTTTATTTCATAGATCTTAAAAAAATCCCTATTATCAAGTTCTGGTTTCAACATTGAAAGGTCGATATTAGTCTTAATTATTTTATAGGAATTTTTTTTGCATTTTTTCAGAGAAAATGAAACATATCGGATCTCCCATGATTTGTAGTTGGATATGATTTTTATTCAACGAGTTGTGTTTTTTTTTTTACAAAACACACAACGAGTTGGATAAAAGTCATATCCAACTGCAAATCATGGGAGATTCTTTTTATCCCATGTTTAATACCTCACAACCAATATTTTACACTGTTTTATAAAGCACTCTTCTTTATTTTACTTCATCACTCTAACGCAAATGAATTTTAAGCTTTACTTAAAAAATTTTATGTACATTGGAATGCTCTGCGTATAATTAGAGTTATTGCGCTTGCATTATCCTTGGAAGTTTTGGCGTGTCCAAATTAGGAGAGGCAAATGCAAGTGATTCTTGGAAATGAAAACATTTAGTAAATGCCCAATGAAAATCATGCGCGGTAAAAATCTGGACCCGGTATTCCAGATAGCGTCGTTTTTCAGTTTCTTTTAGGACGCCGTGAAAAGTACATGTGTGTTGGATAGCTTCAAATTATTTTAAGCGGTAAGGTAACACTTTTGTTTTTTCCTCATACAATTTAATTGTTTTATTTGTCTAACAATCTTTCAAGATTAAGTACGTAATATTTTGCTATGTTACTGATATTAATAATTGCTATCCAATGCCATTGTTATTTTGTATACTATTTGCATACGGGGACAACTCGATGCTGTAGAATATTTAAAAAGAAAATGACCGATAATCGCCATAATAGTAGCGATGGGAAGTCTGACTGTAGGAAACGTTAATATTATGTTTTCATTCTTAAATAATTATAACAATATTGATAATTTATTTTGCTTTCACGAACAATGACTTAGTTAAATTTAATTTGGTAATAAAGAATTTCTATTAGACGGCGTCCGTTTTCGATAATCTATGTTGAAGCCTTTGTGGCCACGTATGTTTTATATGTGTAGGTCAACATGACCTCACTGGTGACCGTGTAACTGCGGAAGTGATGAATCATTTTGGACAGCTGAAGCCATTCCTATGCTATTAAAAGTGTACAAGGTTTCAACTTTTGTCCGATAACCGATATAGATTAGAAATGCAAAATGCAGAAATAATAATGATTTATATATATATATATATATATATATATATATAAACAAACAAAAAACAAAAAAACAACATGTATATATATATATATATATATATATATATATATATATATATATATATATATATATATATATATATATATATATATATATATATATATACCAGTTAATATGTATACTAGACGTACATGTATAGATATGTAAAAAAAAAAAAAAAAAAAAAAAAAAAAAAAAACCTATGAAATATCAAATTTTTGTTTGACACGATGATCCAGTTCTAAAATTGATTATAACTTTGCTTGTTTCTGATAATCAAGATTCTCTCATTTCCGTGTTGAAATGTGTTCTTATTCAATTTACTTATTCAATTAATAAATTAATTTGTTTACTTATTTAGTAAGTTATTGATTGATCTATTCAAATTTATTATTTATTTATTTTTTATTTCTTACTTATTTTACCTCATTTGCATCAACACAAGTTTTTTTTTGTGTTTCCCGAGGACAATACTGTATTAAAACTCCTCTTCGAGGTTTTCCTCATAAGGATCAATACAAGTTGTTTGTGTTTCCTGAGGACAATATTACAAACTCCTCTTTTGAGGTTTTCCTCATTAGGATCAACACAAGTTGTTTGTGTTTCCTGAGGACAATATTACAAACTCCTCTATTGAGGTTTTCCTCATTGGGATCAACACAAGTGGTTTGTGTTTCCCGAGGACAATGTTGATTAAAACTCCTCTCTCGAGGTTTTCCTCATAAGGATCAACACAAGTTGTTTGTGTTTCCTGAGGACAATATTACAAACTCCTCTACTGAGGTTTTCCTCATTGGGATCAACACAAGTTGTTTGTGTTTACTGAGGACAATATTACAAACTCCTCTACTGAGGTTTTCCTCATTGGGATCAACACAAGTTGTTTGTGTTTCCTGAGGACAATATTGTGTTTAAACTCCTCTAACGAGGTTTCCTCATAAGGATCAACACAATTTGTTTGTGTTTTCTGAGGACAATATTGTGTTAAAACTCCTCTAACGAGGTTTTCCTCATAAGGATCAACACAAGTTGTTTGTGTTTCCTGAGGACAAGATATTAAACATTCTATGGTGAGATTTTACTCTTGAAAATCAGCATTACTTAAGAGGGTAACTGCCTTATTCGGATATGTTTAGTATTTGACAAAATTTAAAAAAAAAAAAAAAAATACGGATTTAAGATACATGTATTTATCCATTTGTTGTTGTTTACATGACAAATCTAGAAAATATAGATCTCATCATATCTCTTACTTTTTATTGACAAAAAGTAATTCTTTTTACAGCATCACTAAAGAATTAGAAGTATATATTTTCAGTATATACACAATGCCTCCAAAGAGACAGTCAAGTAGGGCACGAGCGGTTCCACCCACTACTTCCCGACAAGGAAAGAAAAGACGGTTGGAAGCAGACCAAATCTCGGTACCTGATGACGTGGTGGAGGAAATCACCAGAACTGTCACTGATAGGGTTACGGCTTCAATAACAACACTTGTTAATGAAATTGTCAACACTAGATCATCGAATTTGAATAATCAGGGGAGTATAGACAATAGTAATGTGCACGCATCTCCACAGATTTCCATCTCAGATAATAGTGTCACTGTAAATTCTCGGTCTAGTGTATTGCCCGAGGCCACTGAGTCAAATAAAGGTAGGGGACAAACAGGATTTGTCAGCACAGCAGTGCCAATAGAAGCTCTTGTGTCTGACCAAATCAAGACTAAGATATGGTCTAATCAGTGCATTGATTTTGTTAAACTTTTATCAAAGGAAAAACAGAAAAAGGGTAAGTTCTCTTTGCAAGTAGAAAATAGTGATACTCAGGGGAAGTTAACCATTCACCAGGTTGAGAACGATGCCGAAAACAAGTCAAGTGTTTCCTCTATGCATGACTGGATTACAGCTTGGAACAGGTATGCAGCAATATATAGTATCAAATATCCTGAACAGCAGTCAAAATTAGCCAAGCATTTATAGGCAGTGAGAGATATTGCTGATGCCAAAGGTAATTGGAAAAATTACGATGCAGAATTTAGACAGCTTGTATCTCAAGGACAAGTTGCATGGGGTGATGTTCACATGGAATTGTATGTAAATGCTAGACTCAAAACTGATCTATTGACAAAAGTAAGTAGTGAAAATAAAGACGCACCGTCAGGGCCCATCCCAAAAGGGGCGTGTTTCAATTATCATGCAGGTAAGCAGTGTCGTGCAGGTCTATCCTGTCGTTTCCAACATATGTGTTACAACTGTGGCAGCAACCACCCATTTAATCACTGTAACAAACAAACACAGCAGCCCTTTCGTTTCCTTAGAAAATTCTACACCCAAACAAATAAAAATAACAAAGAATTTACCAACCCTTCCAAACAAAGGAATGACACCAGTAAAAGTAAGTAAATTGGCAAAATGGTTAGATGGATATGATGAAGATGAATCCAAATATCTAATAAATGGTTTCTCTAATGGGTTTTCGTTGGGTTTTGTGGGTGAATGCCCTGGTATTGAATCAAAGAATTTAAATTCTGCTTTCCAAAACCCACAGGTTATATCTAGTAAGATACAAAAGGAAATTTTGGCTGGGAGGGTTTATGGACCTTTTGAAATAAAACCAAGACCTGATTTACAATGCTCTCCATTAGGCTTAGTTGAAAAGAAAGAACCTGGGGAATACAGAATGATTCATCATCTATCATATCCAGAAAACAAGTCCATCAATGATGGGATTCCACCGGATGAGTCATTTGTTCAATACTCATCGGTTTCAGATGCTATTCAATTAATAAAAAATTGTGGAAAAGGTGCATACTGCTGCAAGACAGATATAAAATCGGCTTTTAGAATTATCAACATGCATCAATCACAATTTAAGTATTTAGGTTTCAAGTGGAATAACAAATATTATGTGGACTCCTGCTTGCAATTTGGTCTTAGTTCTTCTTGTAGAATTTTTGAAAGATTTTCAACAGCATTACAATGGATAGCTCAGAATAAACTGAAAATATCTTGCATATCCCATGTTTTAGACGATTTTATAATCATTAATAAATCACCTACTGAATGTGTTAAACAGTTGAAGGCATTCCTCGATATGTTGATGGATATAGGGGTCCCAATATCACTTGAAAAAACATGTGGACCCAGCCAGATCATAACTTACTTGGGATATGAATTGGATTCAGTTAAAATGGAATCTAGGCTTCCAGATGATAAGATCCTTAAGTGTGTTACGAAAATTGAATCAAGTTTACAACAACAAAAATTGACACTCAAGGAATTGCAGTCACTGATAGGTTTATTGAATTTTGCATGTAATGTAGTATTGCCCGGTAGGTCTTTTCTTAGGAGACTGATAGACTTGACTATTGGAATTAAAAAACAATACTATAAAATTAGAATGACAGAGGAAGTAAAAGAAGATCTAAATGTTTGGCTGAGTTTTCTTTCAAATTACAATGGATCTACCATGTTTTTGCCTGATAGGTGGTTAAATTCTACTGAAATAAAGTTGTATACTGATGCATCAGGGTCTATTGGATATTCTGCAGTGCTTGGTAGTCAGTGGTTTCAAGGAATTGGGATATTAATTGGAGATACCAGAATATTGCTATTTTGGAATTTTATCCTATAGTACTTGCTGTGCAAACGTGGTCAAAATACCTTGCTAATAAATGTATTTTGTTTAACACTGACAATCATGCACTGGTTCATGTGATCAATAAGCAAACAGCTAAGGATAAACACATAATGTTTTTGTTGAGGAAACTGGTGCTAACCTGTCTAGAATTTAATATTTATTTTAGAGCAATACATTTGTCAAGCAAAGAAAATTTGCTATGTGACTATCTTTCTCGTTCCAAGGTACAGCAATTCTTGGAACTGGCTACTTTGGCAGACAGACATCCAGTAGAGATACCTCCTCTTCCGCCTTTTCCATCTTGATTGGCGTTAAGGGGAAATTACCAACCCTGGACATTTCAATGGAGATAACCTTTTAATTTCTGATGCATACAACATTTGGTGACAAGTTTGAACAGCAACTGTTTTAAAAAATATATATATTTATATAATGATATATTAAATGAAAACACTTCATTATTCGTGCATAGCAGTGTGACAAACGTTCAACCTAGGCAAGAACACGTGTTTATATGATGTCGTCGGACATAATTTACCAAAGTTAATATCAGTGTCTGTGAATAAACTTTTCGTGACATGTTCAGTCCAGGGCATATGTTTATCCCTGATTTGGATTTAATAAGCAGCTCACTTGTGGCATATTTATTCCCAAGGTAGCAGTAGTTCTACTAACAAACTGACATGAGTAGACTTACTTTTATGAATGACAAGCAGGGCATATGTTTATCTCTGACTTGGAATTTTTCATCAAGTTGTACATTTTTGGCTCTTGGTTTCATTGGGTACATAGTAGGACATATGTTTATTCCTACTGGTTCATATGTGTGGAACGTACAAACTTTTCAAAAGGACAAGCAGGGCATATGTTTATCTTTGCTGACTTACAATTACTTTTTATTTTGACAGGTATAACTGCACTTTGCCCCTTTTCCGGCTTCCTTTTTCTTGGGGTCTGAACTTGATTAAATTTAATTTAAAGTATAAATTTAATCAAGTACATGGCGGTTTCAGACCACAAGAAGGTTTTATATATTATGTAATCAATTACGCCACATATTAGGTAATCACTGTTTACATATCAATCATATTCATAATTCGACTTCATTCTGTTGTGAATTTTTGATACAGATAATAAGAAGTTAATTAATAATTTTATGGATTTCTTGACCAATTATTACATAATTAATTACAAGTAATTTCTATAATTAAAGTCACATTAGTGGCAAAGTGCAACATACCTAAGTGTTTTGTTGTTTATGAAAATGGAGAGTGAAGGCGGTTTCTCAAAATTCTGCGGTAGTACAATAACTGTGAGTTGGGTTCATGACAGTACGCGGAAATGTTAAAGGATGAGAAGTTCCACAGATTAGTTATTTTATCAAACTGAATTTGCATTGGCAATTGTACATAAAAACCATTGTGACGTCACAACTGCACTTAACTGTGGGTTATGAAAAAAATATCCAATGAGTCATATCCACGGGATAAAGGGGTAAACATGGGATTAAAATGTTTTATTTGCATATAAGATGCTTTAGAGTTAAAAATTTGCTGTTAATGAATGTATCGTATGAATGTCTAATACAATTGTAAAGCAAAGCCAAATAGACATTCAAAATTTTTTACTAAAAAATATTTATGAAAATAAAACACATTTTCTGTGAATATTTTTCTAACCTATGGTCAAAATCTTCGTAAAACTAGTCATAACTACGGAGAACATGTTTGTCAATCATATTTTGAAGAAAAAAAATTAAAATGAAATTGTGAAATTTTAAAGAATTTAATTTATTTTTAATTTTGGCCAATCCCGATCAAAATTCAACTGATCCCAACCAGAATTCTGTAATTATTGGAAATGAATAACATTTTCAAAAGTTTACAAGTTTGATTATGTGTAATATGGGTTGAAAATAGCTGAACTTGACAATCAAATAGATTTTTTGTTCATAAATACACAAAAAATGCATTAAATTATTTTTTTATTCATTTTGTGTTAATTTTGATCGGTTTAGGTCCAAATATTTAAAAAGAATAATTTCTCTAAAACTTCGCAATATTATTTTAATTTCTTTTTGAAATATGATAGAATAAAACGTTCCTCCTAGTTGTGACTACTTTTACGAAGATTTAAACCATACTTCTAAAAAAAATTACAAATAATGTGTTTTATTTCCATAAATATTTTTTATTTAAAAAATAAAGATGTCTATCAAGCCTTTCTTTACATATTTTATTAAACTTTCATACTATCCATTTATTAAGAGCAAATGTTAAACCGTAAAGCATTTTATTTGCAAATTAAACAAGTTTATCTTTTTCTTAAAAACAAATGCAAAAAATTCATATAAAATAATTAAAAGCTAATATCGGCCTTTCAATGCTGAAACCATAGTTTAAAAGGGATGTCTTAAAGATCTATTAAATAAAACTCTGGTGTGGCATTCCTCCTTAAGTATAATTAATTTTATTGTAAATACACATACACGGTACTCATTTCTCAAATTGTAAGTGACGCATGCTATACAATTTATTTTTGTAAAGCTACTATACTACCACATGTTTAAATTTTAATTGAAATAGGATTATATACCCCGCTCTGTACGGAATTTGGTTTGATCACATTATTTGACAGTCTCGTGATAAATGCATGTAATGTGTACTGTATGTAGGTCATAAACAAATTTCAATATCGCAAGGGCATATCCTAGTTGGAATTAAAAATTTCATTAATAAATGGTATCTATGTTACTTGTAGTTTATGAAAAGTGCTGCTGCTTTAAATAGAATTCGTATTTTATTAGTTTGAATTTTAAGTAATTTGACTCTAGTCGAAATATGTGTTACCTTTACCATGTATTTTCTTTATTTATTTAGTAATGCTCTTGATTTCAGGAAAGCAGCAGCACTTTTCAAGTTAAGAAATGTTTCCGTTATGCATATTCAAAAAATGGTCAAGATCTATTAAGTGTATGCCCTTGCGAAAAGGAGATCAAATGAGGCACCTCGGCGTGAAACATGCACATCCTGTACAGAAAAACACGATAGTATTAATTCAATACATTTTCTCAATAATTGTTAAAGAAATGCACTAAACAAGAGTTTCAGATGTGTATTATTGGTCTACCTAAGATTTGCAAATAATATTCTGTTTAATAATGAAATGCGTTATTCACTGTGGAAAAATTGCTTGATCCGCCTCTCACTGCAAATACAATGCGTCAAATTTTACCATGATGACGTCATGTCGACAAGAGCCTTGCCATCAGTGACTTGTTTATATCTTGTTGTGTGGGACTTAACTAGCGACAAAAATGAATGCAGTGGTAAGTTTTGATGTAGTTCATCACTCTTACACAGTTTAAATCCGCAAATTATTTCATTTTCTGTTGTTGTGAGGAATTGTTGTATTTGTGTGATGTTACAATAGACATTCCCCGTATAAATTAAGCCCTGCCCCCTTTATGCAGCCTTAACAGAGCTGCGTATATCCCTATATAACAGTTCCTATGTAACTCTATAACAAAAAGAGTCCATCAGTTTGACTGTTTCGGTGACTATTGGACTGTAACTGTTAAAATCGACTGTTAAAAAAGACTATTGACCAATGACGTCATAAAGCGCTAAAACAGGTTTAAAAACAAATGGACGATGTACTTCTCGTAGCTGCATAGGAAGAGGACATTTAGGTCAATTAAAAAAGCAGAAACAATAGAAACGTTACGAATTTTGAAAAAGGTATAAAACTTTCTCGATGATTGTCTAGTGATCTCTGTCGGTCTCTCCATTTCTTTTCTGCGAAAAATTCATGAAGTTATTTGATTGAAAAGCACCGGAAAAAATTTTACTGTGCAGCTTGAGAAAGATATAGGGCCTCTGCAGAGATCTGTACGTTTGAAAATGTAGGGTTTTCTTACGATATTTAATAACCAATAAAAAATTATTGGAAAAATCAATGACATAAAACGATAAATGATGTAAGGTTTAAAACCACAATTTAAAGTTTTCTTTGCTCCGATCAGTGGCGTATGTATTATGTAACGCTTTGCATGTATGCCAAAGCATCCATTTTAATAATAATTTTTAATAATAATTTTTAATAAATGAAAAAAAATTACATTAAAAAGAATGTATTTCAATAAATTCAAAGATAATTTGTTTTGCATTATCTTCACACGAAACATTCTAAAACTCGACCTAACACTCCTAATATTGTAATATTGTCAATTTCTGCGGGACTTCTAAGGGATCTTCTCCCTGGACCTGCTGAAAGGGGGGGGGGATTAATACTGCCCAGACGCCCTGTACTCATAAAAGCGTCCTCTTTATTTTTGCCTAACTACACCACTCGCCAATGGTACGAATTAATTCGCGGCCTACGGCCTTTGGCCACAGTTTACACACCGGTCCGACAGATCAACAACTGTATACTGTTGAAACCCTGTTGTCCTGAAATATTATGTATTTCCCCAATTCCACTTAAAATACAGGGGCATACTGGGGCATATAATATGGTATTCTGGGGATAACTGATGGGATAAATGAGGCTACTGTATATTACTGTACCGTGCTGTGGATACAAGTATATAAAGTGGACTACAAATAATTTCTCTAGATACATAGGACACATACAGTGGCAAGCTGTTGATATCCTGTAGAGTTATAGAAATGGTGTTGCTAACTGAGAAATACAGGGGATTTTCATACCGACAGGGTTTTGAAAGATGTACAAGTGTCATGTAGTGTAATTGTGTGACAATTCATCAAAGTCAATATCAGGGAGGTTTTTTTATCCCACGTTTGATGTTTTTTTTAAATGTGTACTATAATTATAATGCACAATTTGTGTAATAAGTACTGTTTATTTAAAAAAAAAGTTATTCATAGTGCCTTTAACTTCCTTTTTAAAATGTTATAATTAGGTTAATTAACATAAGAATGAGTACAAATATTTCAGTGATAATCTTTACTATACTTACAATGCCAGGAATT